CCGTGCTAGGGTTTCCGGCGGCGGCGGCTGCGGCGGCGGCGGCGGCGGCGGGGGGTCGCGGATGTACAGCGGGGTGAGCGGGGCGCCGGTGTGCGCGTCCATGGCGGGGGGCAGGGCGCCGGCGCCGACGCGCGCGGGGCGTAGGACGAGGAGAGGGAGAGAGTGCGGGCGCGAGCGCTCGAGTGTGCCGCGCGCTGTAGCTGGCGCTTCAAATACACCGCGCGGATAAGTGTTTTTGACCGCGCGCCCAACCCGTTATCGCGCGCGCCGTTTTTGCGCGCCCGCTGGAGCGAGTCGCCGCGTTGCGCGCGCGCTAAAAAGGCCTATTTTGCGGCGCGACGCTAGTTTAGCGCGGCTGTTGGTGATGCTCTCAGGGCAGAGCGCTCCGGCCTTGCGGGTGCAGGCTCAGTTACTCATGTCTGTGCAGCTCCTTATCATGCCTACACCATCTTTGTTTGTACTCCCTCCGTTCCGAAATATAAGTCTTTTTAGAGATTCCAATACGAACTACATATGGATGTATATAGACATATTTTAGAATGAAGATTCACTCATTTTGCAGTCCATATTGAAATCTCTAAAAGACTTATATTTAGGAACGGAGGGAGTATATACTCGCGTCATCTTGTTCCTGCCTGTACTGTGTATACATTTCTGTCAAGTTAGTCATCGGTCTTCCTGCCGGTCTTCCTGCCTGTAGACAAGGGATTTAGAACATCATAGGAATTTTTTTTCTATACAAGGGATTTTAGCCGCAATGCGCAGTTAGATTATTCTCCAGTTTAATCTTCTCTGTCTTTCTTAGTATTCATTGAGCAAAAAAAAATTCATCAGTTTTGTTCCTTTCTTCAGAATTCATGCTTAGTATGCATTGGTCATTCCTCCCCTCGGTATTACTTTATAATTCTATCTGTAAATTTAACTCCTCTTCGGTTCTTTTGGTCATTCTTTTGTTGTTAGATAACTAATCTTTAGTGCTGCACCCCCTTCAGTTCTCGTCTAAGTCACCATTTTCTCTCTTCTTTGATGCATGTATACACATCATGTTCACGTTAGTTTCGAAAGGGAATACTAGCTTTACTGCACTCTTCTCTTCTGCATTTTACATGTTCATTGGTTCAGTGATTATTAT